ACTTTTTTAAAACTTTAACCCCGGTCATAACCTTTGAAAAATATATAGTAGGACTTTTATACTTCACATCTGCATTTTTTGTGGCAAAACCTTTCATTAGATACCAACAACTTTGTCCTGTTGACCTTGACCTTGGAGATTTCCGTACTTGTGAAAAAACTTTTACCTTGACCATAACTTTTGAATGGTAAATGCTTGGGATTTCATACTTCAGATATGTAATCCATGTGCAAAGGCCTTTTCATGACCTTGGAGTTTAACCTACTTTTAAAAACAAACCCTGACCATAACTTTCAAATGGTTAGGGCTAAGGCTTTCATGTTTCAAATATTTAATCCTTGTGACAGGGACTTTCATTGGATATCATGAATGACCTTGACCTTCGCGTAATAATTTATTTAATTTGCATTTAAGAAAAGTTTAATCTTCGCTATGTTGCCATACAGGTCATCAGTGTTTCACAAACACACCTTGTTCCTTATATTGAGAACAAATATGGCTTTCATATGCATTGACATGTGCATTACCTGTGACAATATATTTCCAAGCATGCTATGATTTGTGACCCATTGACCTTGACCTCCAAGATTGACCTTATTTTAAAAAAAATCTACTTCAGTGATATTTTCTAAATGACATATATTAGGGCGTTCATATTTGAGACAATGTGTCATAAAAAATGGCATCTCACTCACAAAGACACCGAAAGTGGGGGACCACAATTCTTTGAATTTGCTTGTTGCAATTTATACGGGGTTCATTCCAATACTTTTTCCACTTGCACCAGTTTGTGCTCTCTGTATAATTTGCTGACATTTATCAGCAAAACAAAAAATATAAATAAAACATAAAACTGTAAATTTTAGTTTGTCATTAGAATTTACATTTTCAAATTCGCTCAGTTCAGGACAAACGCTGACAACGGATGATCAGAAAAGCTCACTTGAGTTTTCAGCTCACGAGCTAAAAAGCGAACCCCAAAATACAGGGGATACATCATTTTTATAACGATTTTTTGTATGTGGAAAACCCGGAGCATGATTTAAAAATCTGATTACATAGATGAATACATTTCTTATCTCTTATTTGCAAAAAATATATGGAGATCACGAACAGTATTCAAGCTGAAACGTTCATTCAAACAAAGCAAATCAGAAACAGAGTAAATACGGACTAAAACATCCCATTCTGGATCAGGTGCCATGGAGAAGTGAACATCCCCTGCGTACCGGTCACACCCGCCGTGTGTTCCTTGTCATGTTTTGGAAATAACGTAAAACACCTTCGGCAACTTAGTGTGCAATTAATGGCCTATCAATTAGTATGCATACAACTTTATTTTTGGTGTACACTTTCAAATTGGCTGCTTCGATAATAAAACTAAGTCGTAAAAAGTATATCATAATTAAAATATTTTGTAGTCAGATAGAAGGAATTTTGAAAATAAAACAGGGGAAGTCAATATTTAATTCAATATTTAATTTAAAACGATACATTTATATCAGTCAATCTCTTCAATGCCTAAGATAACTTCCTGGTTCATGAGATTCTCTCGAGGAAGAAAACCAGTTTTGAACAAAAATAGTAAAATATATGAGGAAGGATACAAAAGATTTATAAAAATTCCTATCATATAAAAGATTATAATATGCAATTCTATCCTATCGTGATCATAAATTGTTTCCATGATCTGACAATCTGAACAAGTTGGAATGGCTGGATACAGAGGTCGTAGTGTATTGGATGATTCCGATTCTTCATCGCCGGAATCGTCGGAAACCTCAGAATCTGACGAAGAGGGTGAGTAAGAAAATAGTTTTGTCGCTTTATATTAAATCTCTGGAATAATTTTGATTCAAAAAATTTAAATGAATGCTAAAATTTAACTTCTCCTTACTAATGAAGAGACCTGCCTAGATCTATAAAAGGCAATATGAGTGCTTCTTTCTTCTTTTTCTATAAGTAAAATGTTTATTTTTCCGTAGAATCAACAGAGGATTCTGACGAGTTAGAAGTGGCCACCTATTTACCCAAACACAGTTCCGGAGGATCAGGTTTTCAAGTGAAATCGGGTTTCCAGATCGGTAATATTACAGTCAATATTGTTGGAGGAGATATTACCAGACAAAAGGTAATGCTACTATAAAAATAATAAATGACTGGATTCTTCAAAATTTTAAAAATGAAAGAGTGATAAAATTAATCTTCCAGGTGATGATGGAAATGTATGTCATAATTCTTATTTAGATTTGCAAGTGGATAGTGACAATTCTCTTTACCATGAGTATATGCCAGAGAATTGATGCAAAAATATCCACATTCTCTTATCGTTTGTAAACGTTAAAAATATTGTTTTTATCTGTGCAAAACACTATTGTTGTTGAATATAGTCTTTTTTCTACTTAGGTTGACGTAATAGTTCACAGTGCAAATCCTAGTCTTGATCTAAGACAAGGAAGAGCATCCAGTTCTCTCCTATCTGCAGCTGGAAAGGGTATTCAGAGAGAGTGCATTCAGAAATACCCGAGAAAGCTATCCCCAGGGGATATAGCTGTCACAACAGGAGGAAATCTTGCCTGTAAGGCTATCTATCATGGAGTTCTGACAAAATATTCATCCAAAAAAGACGAAAAGGTATCAGATTTACAAATTTATTTACTTAAAAGAGGCTTTCAAATTCAGGACTTAAAATATCATGACATATATTTTAGTAGCATTTTACACAACAAAAATAATTATATTAAAAATCTTATTTCATCTTAAAGTTATTGAAACTTCAATTTTTTGGATGGGTTTCATTGACACATCCTTGCACTCTCACAAATTTTACTTTTTATTCGCAATACTTAGAAAAAGTGGCAATATTGTTGTGTATTAAAGAAAAATATTAAAACTGTAACCCAGAAAAATAATTCTTTTCAGAGCAGAAATGCCAGAAAGCAAAACCCCTTCACAAGTATTCCGCGCTAAGTGTTGTGTACAGAGTTTAGCAAATTGATCACACCCGTGAAACGTACACAGTTATTGTAAATAGGGCACGAGCTCTGTTATTGTTGATGTTTACGATTCACCGGGAGCTTTCAATTGTTAAAGTCTGCTCACCACAACTGCACGGACTGTGTTTACGTTTTACTCTGGAACATTTCTACTCTGAATTTTCTGGATCTTAGTTTTAATATTTTTCATTTATAAACAACAAGATTGCCACTTTTCCTAAGTACTATTAAGAATAAAATTAAATGTGAAAGTGCAAGGACTCTGATGTGTCAATCATACCCGTCTAAAAATTTTAATAAAAGTTGAAAAATTTTTAAATGAAATAAGATTTTTAATATATTTTTGTGTGAAATGCTATTAAATATTTATACATATAAGTAATATTATACAGATAATATTAACTTCAAATCTGTGACCTTGCACCTTTAAGGGTTGAGGGTTAAATAAATCAGCCAAAAAGCAATGATAAGTGCTTTCTATACGAGTTTTGAGTTTGAAGACTATTATTCATCTCCATGTTTTATGACATAAATGAATGAAAATCGTTACCTTTTGTCAGATTCAAAGAAGATAAATCTATGTTCACAGGTTTTAGCAGACTTAGTGACAGAGTGTCTGGATCAGGCTGATTCTGACGGTTACAGATCCATAGCCTTCCCACCAATTGGGACCGGGTACCTGTCATACCCCTCACCAAGAGTTGCTGAAATAATGTTGGAATGTATTGAAAATTGTACTTCAAGAACTGTAACATCTGTATCCATTGTTATATACTCACAAGAAAGCAGCACTTTCCAGGTATAAACAATTTACTCTTTCTAATGCTTAGCAAAAATGATACTATATGTAAATTGTTCAATAAAATTCTTACCAAACCATTACTTTCAAAAATTGAATAAAATGGTTGTCTTACACCTATCCCTGTCAGTAGCAAATTATTCTTTGCAAGACTGCATTTGATTTGAAAAAATCGCCATAATCTAAAAGCTCTTTTGTTGCCTTAAGGACAGATGATACAAACAAAAAATGGATTCCTGAATTGGTATATATTTTTTAACCTAATTTCATTGCAAATGATGTAAATAATAATTTTCTAGAATATAAGGAAGTTATAAACCTTTCAAATTCTACCCTTCTGAAACCATCCTTTTTCTATATAAATATTTTTCACTTCAAATTCCATTTTTGTGCAACTTTGAATAAAAAAATTTTAAAACTACGCGGTGAAACCTATTCATTTTATTCATTAAAACAATACCCAAGTTGTTATTTTCAAAATTTTTGACAAAAATTTGTTTGTATCATCTGTCCTTTAATTGTTCTTTCTTATAAGTTGAAGTTTCTTGTCCTTTGAATGTTGATTACACTGACACAAATCTCTAATGTGCTTGGATTTATGAATATCATTATGGTTAACTTTAGAAATTGTGAGTTTCTTTAACTCTTCTTTTTTGAATTCACATGCACTGATTACAAGAAATCCAAATTTAGACATGACGTAGATGTCTGAAAATTTATGTAACAACAATATATTGCATTGCTGTTTTTCCCAAACAAGGAAATGTAAAGTGAAAGATTAAAATAATCTAAAATTAACAATATAAATGTTTATATCATCACCACAGGTTGTGTTCCAAATTTAAACAACTATACAATGCACCTGTCAGTACATTCAAAAAATAACTTTAAAGTCATATATGGCGTATTGTTTGATAAGTTCAGACTGACTAAAATTTAAAAAAAATCTTTTCTATTTTAATTTGTTTTCTTACTTTATATAAAGATAGAACTTTCTTGTAAATTGTACAATTTAAATCTTTTGCGTTTCATAGATATTAGAGATTTAAAACAATAACAGATTTATTTCCGACTCGGAATTAAATATCTGACACAGTTTAAAGTCAATTTAACTATAGATACGTGGGCATATTTACATTCAAAATCTGTGAAAATTTTAATTTGAACGTACCGGGTAAATAATAAATATCATGTAAACCTACATATAATCTCTTTTTATACCCCCCGCTTGAAAAGCGTCCATCCCTCTGTCCGTTACGCTTTGGGGTACCCATCTCTTATCCGCAACTCCTCCTATACCACTGAGTGAAACTTAACGAAACTTTCACAGAATCTTTATTACATATTGCCATTGTGCACCTCCTATTTTACTTTTTGATCTGACACATATTTTGAGTTTTCCCGGCCAGAGCAAAACATGGTCTTTGCCAATATAACCATATGGGAGGCGGGGGTATCATTTAGTGAGCTCATTGCTCACAATACCTCTAGTTGTTTTTTTTTTTTTAGCTCAGATACGCCATATATAGCTTTAAGAGGGACGGATATTCCTTGTTATGTTCCCCAAACGAAGTTGGGGAACATATTGTTTTTACTCTGTTTCTTATTATTATTATTATTATTATTATTATTTTTCTTCTCGGGAAAATTTTGTCCGCGAATGATCTTGTAAAGTACACATCCGATTAAGGGGAAACCTTTTTAGGGTAAGTAGGCATGTTATGTAGATTTGCGGAATCAAGGTCATTTTGCGCGCACGTGCTTGCAAGAGCGCGCACGTGCAAAACTTGAAATGACCAATATATAATGGATATAACCGTAACTTTTCTATTTTTAGACGAAATGTTTTGAAACTCATAATGTAAGGACATATGAGTAGTATGCACAAGATGACATGGTCAAAATAGCAAGATCGCACGTGTAAGCACGTGCGCTTCGCTCTGATTGGCTGAAACTAAAGTCTCAATATCTTTCTTGTTTTTTGATAAAATCATTTGAAATTTTGAACATAGTCATACATTAGGGAGATCTACAGCCCGTAATAAAAGAAATATCATGAAAGCATGTGCATGCACGTGTGCTTGCAAGAGCTCGCACGTGCAACACGAGAAATGTCCAATATAATTGATACAGACGTAACTATTTATATTATTGATGATATGCTTTTAAACTCATATTAGAAGTATATATTAGAAGCATAGACAAGATGACATGGTCAAAAAAGCAAGATCTCACGCGCATGCACGTGCGCTTCGCTCTGATTGGCTGAAACTAAAGTCTCAATATCTTTCTTGTTTTTTGACGAAATCCTTTGAAATTTTAAATATAGGCATGTATTAGGATATCTTACAATAAGATATATAGCAATTATCATGAAAACACGTGCATGCACGTGCGCTGCAATCTGATTGGCTGAAACTTTAAACAGCTATAACTCCCTTGGTTTTCAACCAAACAGGATGGGATTTGGAACATAGATAGATATAATGGACTTCTACAAGTAGGTATGGTCACCATGCACATGCATACACGTGCGTGTACGTGCGCTGCAATCTGATTGGCTCAAACTTTAAACAGCTATAACTCCCTTGGTTTTCAACAAAACGGGGTGGAATTTAGAACATAGATAGATGTATTGGACTTCTACAAGAAGGATTGGTCACCATGCTCATGTATGCACGTGCGTGCACGTGATATGAGTAAAATCAAAAATACACTTGAATGAGCGTATTTTTTAATAATTTTGGATTAAATACTTTAATATTCAGTGTATTAAAATATACAGATTGTGTAGACATGATGATATGGTCATGACGCATATGCATTCACATGCGCACGCGTGCAATGCTAAAATTTGAATGAATTTGGTTCACTTCTGGGTAAATCTTGTTAAAATTTCAAATGCATG